GACCATTTACCACCTAACAGCTGTTCAGCAGCCTACGCATGATGATATGGTAGCCCCTGTTGGAGAGGTGTCCAGGTGACAGTCACAGTTAGTTACCATCCCTGCTGGCAGTCTCAAGTAGCATAACGGAACAGTAAGACCTAGAGACCATAATAGCGTGTGTCTTCTAGACAGAAAGCGGTTCCAGAACGGGACAACAAAAAGGTATTTCTGAAATTAGCAGTGTCTACCTAATGTGTAACAGGATGTCAATTTAAGGTGTAGTCAATATAATATTTTTCATGAGAACTTGTGGTTTAACCCCAGCCAGCAGCCAAGCACTACACAGTCACTCTCTCACTCCCCCACCAGTGAGATCGGGGAGAGAATCAGAAGGGTAAAGTGAGAAAACTCATTGGTTGAGATAAAGACGATTTAATAGGGAAAGCAAAAGCCGTGCATGCAAGCAAAGCAAAGCAAGGAATTAATTCACCATTCCCATGGGCAGGCAGGTGTTCAGCCATCCCCAGGGAAGCAGGAGTCCATCACACGTAACAGTTATTCAGGAAGACAAATGCCATCACTCCAAACCTCCCCCCTCTTCCTCCTTCTTCCCCCAGTTTATATACCGAGCCTGATGTCATATGAATATCCCTTTGGTCAGTTGGAGTCACCTGTCCCACCTGTGTCCTCCCATACAGCCCCAGTCTCATCAGCATGGCAGTACAAAAAGCAGAAAAGGCCTTGACCCTGCATAAGCACTGGTCAGTAGAAACAAAAATATCTCATTATTATCAATGGTGTGTGCAGCACAAATACAAAACACAGCCCCATACTTGTCACTGTGAAGAAAACTAACTCTACCTCAGCCCAAACCAGGACTATTTGCATTTTGCATGGTTCCACATAAAATCTTTGAGACACCTTTTTTTTTTTATGCTAAGGGGTTTTTCTGCTAAACAAATTCCACAGATTGAAATGGCAGGCTGCAGAATCAGCCATTTAATATAACCTACCAGTATGCTATCATTACAATGTACTTATTTTGTACTCTGACAGCAAAAGAAATAATGAATTAGGAGATTGCCTCTTTCCATTCCTTCTTACTGTGAAACAACTTGTACTAACAATGCAGAACTGTAGAGTTACGGGAAATATTTTGCATTTTGGAGGTTTATATTCTTTTTTCCTACTACTATCATCATTTAGTCAGCATAAATTCTGGGCTTCATACCGCTCTCTTCCATACACAGTATTTAAAACAAGAAGGTCAATTTTCCAAGTACTATTCAGTTTTGCTGGTTCCTTTCAAAAAAACCCATTTGCTCAGCCTTAGAATTATTACCTTAACAGAACAGCATAGAGCTCTAATGATCTATTCCTTTTGCTTACAAAACAGTATAAAATAAGGAAAACCAAAAGCTCATAACAGCCACAACTTTGCTAAAAGCTGAATCATATGTTGTTTAAAAAGTTACCATTTACATATAAAAAGCTCCTCAGTATATACAGCAGAGTCAAGCGAATAAATGCACTAAAAAGTACTTCTGAATCAAAACTATGTTATTTAGATTCCTGATGTAGCATGCAGCTGTGATACCACAGAAGATTTCCTTACTCTTACCAAACTTTCTAACATGGTAAAATGCATATTCCAGTTACAAAGAAGAAAAAAATAATTCATTTTACCTTTACAATGTGAGGCATTCACTGTAGGTACTTCTCTCTGGTCTACTACTGTTCATTAAACAAGTATGTGGGAGGCATGTCTGGGATCCAAAAATGTCACAACTCCTTTAATTCTAAATTGTCATTGAAGGTGGCCACCCCCTACCAGGACAACCTTCTGAGGGTGTTTTTTCTTTTACTGATGCTTCTGCTAAGTAAGCTAACTAACTCCTTGTTGATGACACCAAGGACCATAAACAGCCTATTTCTACTACTTCATTTTTGTCTTCTCCTGTTGAGAGCCTACCAAATTAGACCATTTTTCTTCAGTTGAAGAATATTGCATTATATTTATCACTATAGCAACTAACTTAATTGATTTGATGCAGGTTTCTCTTCGACCATAGGATGGAGCCACTATCCCTAAGTATAATCTAAACATTTAAGAAAGAAAAAATTATCAGTTTATCATTTTACCACATCAATGGGAATATAATTGGGCTTCAGACATTAAAGTATAAATGACAGCCTAATGGGCTGTACATGTACACCCAGAACATGCTTTATAAATACGCATATCTGCAAGAGGAACTCAGAGTATCATGTTCACTGGTTGCTCTCAGTAATAGGGATGACTATTGCACAACAATTTCCAGAAACAAAGATTGACAAAGTAATGAGGAGAAGGAGAAGCAATGTTCATATAACTGATTCAGGAATAAGATTTGTCATTCTAACAGCTTAGAAATGGATATAAGCAAGGTAGATCAAAAATTTTATTTACAGTGCTATAAAAAAAAATGGAAAAATGGAAAAGTTCTAATTTTGTTTTTGAAGCTGCAGAGATTGATTGTAGTAAAATGATACAGTGAGAGAGAATCCAATATGAGGTTAGTGTAATTAGTTTGATAATATATTCACCTTTATTGTTTTTTACAGAATGAATGCTGCTTGATATCAGAAATTTAAATAGGTATACTTCCATATATCTGAATATATTGTGTGTGGAAAAATATAGAACACCTTACACAGTCAAGTTCCTTCCTTTTACTTCTTTCCTTTTACTTTCTAAGAAATATGGCAAGCCTGTTATTTTTAAAACATTTTTAAAATCATGTCTCCCTCCACACCCAGTTATCCTTTTCTTCAAAAAAGGAATCAGATGAAAAAAGTCTGGTTAAACTTTAGCTGATTTTTAAAAGAATTCATAAAATCTTAAGTGCTACTTTAGCTAGAAACTGCTTCATTTTTTTTAATCTTGATTTTAAACACCTTCCCTCTTTCCACAGAGCAAAACCCATATTTTGCAATGTTTCAAATATTACTGCTAGAAAAAACGTTCATGGTGCTTCATTAACATTTGGAATTGCAGTTGTCAAATCAGTGAAGCATTACATAAACGGTAGAGTGTTTTGACACTGCATATTTTAAGCTGCATGATGCTTTTCAGTGCTATAAGAAATGAAGAGCGTACTACATGTTTGAGGAACACCATCTACGCTGGCTGAGAGAACTAATCAAAAACTGGTCCCTTAAGCACACCAGAAAATGCCTTCAGATTATCAGCCAACATTTGTATTGTACAGCATCAGTAAACAATGCAAAAAATAAACAATGCACAATATGTAATAATTCAAAGGGACAACTTCATTCCTTAGAACAAAACGTTGTCAAACCTCTCACTGCTGAACATAAAATGTTTTTAAGTGTCAGAGTTTATGGTTAACTCTTTCTGAGGCCATGCTAATAGAAAATATATGCAGAGAAGAACTCACATCGTCTCATAAAAAGTCTGGGACTCTCCAGGCATTTCTAGCACAAACTTAATAAAATATTTCTTATTACTAACATCCAGATGAATTCCCTTTACACTTGAACTACTCATCCTGTAATATGCACTCCCAGCATACACATAAATTCTTTTAAATCTCACTATGTTGTTTAGTATATCCTCTATATTAAGAGATTGAATATGGCATTATGAACAAAATTATATTATTATTTAAAAGTGTGGCCACTTTAATGTGATTTTTTTAATGAGAAGTGTAATGCAAAATGTGCTAAATTAAAAAATAATTACAAAATATAAGCCATTTACACTGTCACCAGTATGAAGAGTCCTTGTAACATGCAAATAAAAGTGAATTACAGGTTCTCTTAACCAATTAAAATTTTGTTTCAGAAAAAAGAACCAAAACAAAACACACAGAGAAATGTGAATATAATATAGTTGGAGGGAATGGAATATAGGGTTAAGAAATGCAGCAGTATGCTCCTGGAAAACAGCATCTATTTCCTATTCATCATAACCTACACCTATTACAGCTCAACAAGACAAGTCTACAAAATCTTTTATGTGACAGCTAATGAAATGAATACATACCATAGGTAAATTACAGACCTCTTCATCTTAGGTTGGGAAAATACACTGTAGATTCATTTTGGCAAAGCTGTGCAGGTCTCTCCTGATAAATTACATATTTTTTTATTATTGCATAGAAACAGTTTTGTCTATTCCCTTTGAAGCTTTCCCACTCTGATACTATGGACTAACTTGCATTCAATAGAAGCATGGGCATTAACTCTATTTACATTATTTAACTGCTTGAAAATGATTCTTGCCAAGAGCAAAACAAACAAACAAAAAAAACCTGGAAAAAATAGACCTTTAAAAGTATTATGTACTTGATTCTTATAGATACCTTATCCACAACTCAATGCGATTAATCGACAATCTATCAAGCCTGAAAAAAAATATACAAAACTCTGATAGCCTGAGATGAAGCTCTGAAACTGACAAAACGAACTAAACTGCTGAGGACATGCCAAGGAAGTGGCAGGGTTTGTTCCAATGGAATTTCAGTCACAGAATCCCATATGATCCCAGGGATGCTGACACCTCTCACTTGATTAAGTTTTTGCTTCCTAAAAGGATGAATATAAACAAAACAGCTCCTTTTCATGGACGATGGATGGAGTTAGGAGAGTGTGTACATGGAGAGAGCAGTCGGGGAGAAATCTGGTAACATCTGATAATAAACAGTGAACAGTGGATCACAGTTACTACCGCTACAAAGTTTGTTTCTAAAATCCAAGAGATGTTACTGTTTGGACTGGAAATGCCACATCTACAACCTAAGGACATCTCATTCTCCTGAGAAGCAGCAGTATTAAAGTATTGGTCTAACTGCTTTACCATAAGGGACTGAGGAGAGACGTGTTGAGGGGCAAGTCTAAGACAAAGTACCTATGCCTGCCAGCTTCAGAGTTTGGCCTTTGCCAGAAGCATTACCTCAGGTGGGAAGGGCGTAGACCTATGCCCAGCAAACGCACCACAACAAATATGTACTTACTGCAGTAAGCGATTAGGAGACTGGCCAGGATCATGATAGCCCAGAAAGTTGAAGACATGCTTGGCAAGGTGTTGGCATCTTTCCTACTGCTTCTCCTGGGAGATGGAGCCATTGAAGCCACTTCCCCGGTGGGGGGGAAAGTCAGACAGTTTCACCAGCCAGCTCTCCCCTTGACTGATGGGCTTTCTCCAGGTGTAATCCTCAAGGAAGGCATCTTCCAACGACCCTGCGGTTTATCATCAGCAACATGGTTCTGTTGCAGGAATCATCTTCCAGCCAGAAAGCCAAGACGACTCTAACACCTGCGATACTTGGGCGCAGTGGCCACTGCCAGCTTTCTTCTTGTCACTGTGGTGGGATTCACTGGCGCGGAGGGTTTCACTGCGGCTTGGACGCCACGCGGGCTGCTGAGCTTCGAAGATGTCCCACGAACGACCCTCTTTTTACTTTCTTTCCCCTCTCCTTTCCTTTTTTAATTTGCAGAAGTTGTTCCGCTTGTTGTCCTCTCCCCCGCCTCTCCGCTCCCCGGGGCAGCCCCCGCCGGTGGGTGCGGGCCCTGGCGGTGCTGACGCGGGGCCTCCCCCGCCCGCCCGCCGCTCTAGGGCGACCCCCGCTCAGGGCGTCGCCGCCGCCCAGCGCAGGGCAGCATGTCCGCGGGGGCCGCCGGCACCGAGGGGCGAGGGCAGACCGGGGCCACCGCCGCCCGCCCGCGGGGCAGGGCTGGGCCGGGCAGTTCCGCGGGGCGAGGGCGATCCGCGCTCCAGCGCAGCGCCCGCGGGGGAGCGGGGGGCGACGGTGCCCGCCAGCTGCCGAGAGCAGCGGCGGAGCCGGACAGCCCCGTCCCCCCCACCCAGTCCGGCCTGAGCTCCCCTCCCAGCCGGTCCTGCGGCTCGACGGGGCGAGAGGCGGCCGGGACACTTCAGGTGGAGGGTCGCGGTGGCAGGTTTTCTCCTCTCCGTGCGCCGCCCGCTCTGCTCTCAGGTTCTGCCGCTACAGCGGCGCCGGCCCTTCAAGTAACCAGAAGCAGGAGGAGGAGGAGGGGGCCGGCGGTCACGCCCACAGGTGCACAGCGCTCGGAGCACAGCAGTCCTTCCCCTGCTCCGCTCCGCTCCGCCAGCGTGTCCCCGCCGGAGGAGGGCTCCCGCACCGGGGCCCGCATCGCCCCCGGCCCCGCTCCGGCCCCGCTCCGGCCCCGCTCCCCTGCTCGCGGGGCGGTGCCGCGCCCGGCGGGTGTGGGGAGGGAGGGACCGCGGGGGGACTGTTCCCGCAGCGGCGGCTCCCGGCCCTGAGGGGCAGGCGGTGGGAGCTGGGGCTGCCGAAGGGCAGGAGGGCGAGCCCTGTGGCTCAGCGGGGGCAGAGCAGGGTCCGGCCCCCAGCGTCTGCCCACGGCCTCCCGGGAGCCGCCGAGCGGGGAAGGGAGCGGGGGCAGTGCCCGCCTGGAGCCCTCTCGAGGAATCTCTGTTCCCGACTGAGACGGGGTCTCGGCTGAAGGAGAAGTGGCCCAGGGAACTCTCTCTCCGCCCCCTCACCTGCACGGTGCGGCTCGAAGGCTCCACGGTGCATCCCGCCTAGACACGACCATGGGTGTAAAAGGAAACAATTTCTCTTTCTGTAACCAACTGCAGTCCTTACGGATCCTTATGGGGACATCGGTTTCTCTCACTGAAATGGCAGCGACACATCAATATGAAACCCAGTTTAGAGGGCTTGAGTTTACATATCTGCCAGTAGCCCTTACGGTAATAATAAAAAACTTAAATGTTTTAGGAGGGACCAGGTAGTTGAGCTTTTCCATAGCAATGTCTTCAAATTAATATTTTAAGTTCTGCAGAAGGTAGTCATGTTCCAAGTAAAGGCAGACTTGGCAAGACTAGAAGAGGAGCTTGGTCACAAAATGTCCCCATTGTCTCCTCCTTTGTTTTACTTGCATAATGAAAATACCATGAAAAAGCTGTTCCATATTCCTTCAGAAGTCCAGGTTTGTCTGATTTTTTGCCTCTTAAATATCTGGACTTAAAATTGCATATGAATAATGCAATATTTACAAGACAAAACTGTAGGGACTTTTTAAATACAGCTATACTTGACTAGATACTTATAGCTAAGTTCGTTTTTGCACCATGAGGACACTGTAATCTCTTTGATTTTAGAGAAGATTTTCTACCAGACTAGTTTCATACTGAACTGGTAGGGCAATAGGTTTATGTTTTCAAACATGCTTCACAGAGATGAAGCTTTAACTATCATTTGGGTGCAACTACATTTGGGTACCAGAACACCTCTCAAGATGTGACTTTCTTTTCCCTTATTTTCATGGGAATTTCTTTTCTATTATATTTAAGAACTGGAATAAAACAAAACGCAAACATTAAGACAACATGCTAAGCTGTATTCTTCTCCCTCATATCGTTTAAAAGAACATTTAATTATTATTTTGTATGTAGAGAATAAATCTTTGTAACACCTTCTATCCCTGACTTAGACACTATATTTTCTCTATAAGTCAATATAAATTGCATATGTCCTTTGGAATCCTGTAGTATTACTTCAGTTTGATATTACAAAATTCTGTTGCATCATGAGTTTTTTTAAAAAATAGGACTTTCAAAATTCCTAGTCTCAGAATAAATGTAAATAAGTGTTAAGCAACAAAAATGCCTTGGTGTGACATGCTGCTGTTCACTGCAATTCCAGGACTAACATGTACATTAATCAGTTTTCTGTATGTATGAAAAAAATAAATATTTCCATTACAGATGTGAGTAATGAATGTACAGTTGAATAACATACTTTAAATATTACTAAAAAGAAAAAGCATAAGTATCTTGAAAAGAGATATATAGTATAATGTATAGATTGGGAGACTTTAAAGCCACAAGGAATATCTGCAGCGGTATATAGGACACTATACCTTTCAGTAGAGTGCACAGAATTTTGTATAGTAAATCTTAGAGTTTACCAAGAAGTTGTGGTTATACAAGAGGATTTCCCTCAGTCTGAGGAGTGGGAGTCATGATTACTGTTCACCTAAATAAAGCTTGAAGATTGATGTAGAAACTGAAGTCTTGCTTTGATAATTCTGAAAGCTGACATTGTTCACTTGAAACCAGGTTAATTCCCATGTCAGAAAACTACTCAGTTACTCAGAAAGTAAGGTACCACTCACTGGAAACAGGAACCACCAAGCTGGGGCCTTTGTGTTTCTATACAACTACCTGTAATTGTTTTACACAGGGCATTTTATATTAAGAAAGATTTTCAAACATTGCATTCTGATTTGATTGTCAAAGACAAGATAAGACTTAAAATCTCTCTTAAAATGTAATTTTAGGTCACTGCTGATTTGTTCTGTAAGTATATGTTGATCCCCAGTAACAGCTTGGCTGTTCTGCACTGTCTTATACGGAAAAGTATTTGACACTACTCGCAGAGTAAAGTCTTACTCAATGAAAAAGTGGCAGAATGTGATCTCAAATTAATTTGCTTGCCTCTTTCTTGACATGTCCCACTCACATTGATTTTCAAGGAAAATGTGTGAAGTCTGTCTTCAATGCCTTCCTCATCTCCCAGGAAATTCCCAGTATTCAGACCTCTATGTACAGAAAGGTAGAAACAATGATTAAAATCAGGGACAGATGTCTGAAAGCTGAAAATAAAATAGAAACCCAAGTTAAAAGCTGTATATCAAAGTGAAATACCCTTTTCAGAAATCAGATTTGTTCTTTGTCAAAGACACAGATCTCTCATTGCCATTGCTGTTGGAAGAGGTAATATTTACAAGGAAATTAAAATAATATTTAAGCTATTTATTAAGATAGGCTGTGCCATTGCTCTAACTGAAATTATAAGCAAAGTGTATATATTGGCTTAGAAACAGGCATAGTTTGAAGCCTGATGTAGCAATGTGTCAGAGTTTGTTCATGATGTGTATATGCATCGCTGCTTTCTGCTAGAATGTCAGACCTGTAAAGCCTGTGTAGTGATGTTGACCTCTATTACAGATGCAATGTGCAGAGGATAAATTTTAACATTCATTTAGCACCAAGGATGTACATGAGAGAGGGTAGATAATGTTCCTCAGGTCTTTGCAGAGACACTTTCCGTTCTTTCTGAGTTTGCTTATTTACTTTGAAAATAAAAGGATTAGGTAAATAGTGGGTAAATTCTGCGGCAGTGCACTGATTTAATGTACTTCGTAAAGAATTAACAACCAAAAACATTCAAGCCAGCAACTGAGTTTTTGCTTTAGATAAAGTATAATTATTCAGTTGGTTCTAAATGTTGATGTCAAGGAAAGAACAGGATAATATGACGTTATTGTTTACATCTGTTAATTTTGAGATAAATGCGAGTCAAATAGATGTAAAAGAATAGCAGCAGTTAAAACTTCTCTTTTACAATGTTAAAAACATGAATTACGTACTAGAGCTATGTAATATAAACTTGTTGTTTTATCTCAGCAGCATTTTCAAGGGAAAAGCAGTGGAGCTTAATACTAAGAAAGTAAGGACTTTGTTTATTTAATCATTTATATTTTCAACAAATTAAATGACTCTGTATGTCTAACAATCCATAGCACCTCTTTAACAACCATAGCAAGTATTACAAAAAAAAAATAGAAGAGAATTGCAATTTTCTCTATCTTCCTTGAGAAGAAGGGACCAGTGGAGACCAGTCGGGGGATGCAGATTCACGGTTAAAAAATAGCAATGATTTTAGTTAGATTTTATGAGAAGATTTTGTGTCTATATTTACTGATCTTAGGCCATCCTTGGAAAAAATGTTCTAACTAGACTCATAACTCAATGATTTTTTTTTATATACCTTCTTTAGTGCCCGTAATATTGACCATCTATTTAGTAGGGAAGTTTTTGCTATTGGTTTGCATGAAGCGAAAAATTAGTATTTCTGACAAAGAAAGAGAAAGGAAGAAGGAGAGACTGAGTGTGTAGATGGCTGATTTCATTGTGAAATTATAATTTGGAGAGTTCAGTCCTTCAACAACAGAAATGATATTTGAGTCTAAACAGCAGTGAACCACATATGTCTGAAACTATGGGATAAGAAACTTAGTTCCCAGCCACTATTTCAGTAAAAGTCTTTATTTACAGAGTACTTTAAAAATTTGTGAGAGATGTTTTGATATGTGTTCATGCAATGAGCTTTTTAAGGTCGGTAACAGTAAGGTCCTTAAGAAAAATCCTCCTAATGCATAGTCAAAATATATTTAGAGGGAAACTGTTGACCGCCCAGTGACCAAAGCCAAGTCATGTTGCTTTATGTCACTGTATTGTCTACATGCCAGGTGCTCTCACCAATAAGTGCTTTTGTTGGTTTTTACAAACACATAACTGCAGCCTGTTACTTGTAGGCTGTGCCTTTTCACTGATCTTTCTGTAACAGATTCAAACTACTAGTTAGTAGTGTTTTTTTTGTTTTTCTAGCCAATATTAGTTTAGCTGGGTTTTTTTTTCTAACTTTAATTGGCCATCAGTGACGTTATAGATATTGTTTGATATAGATACAGTTTGAAAAACTGTATGTGGTTTTGATTTAACACGAAAGCTTTCATAAGTTTTAGGAAATCCTCACCCCATAAAACAAAATACATGAAGTTGTTCACTGACAGCTATGTTAACCTGTCCAATTATTTACAAAGTCAAACATTTTTAAAAAGCAAGAAAGTGACAGTGGGAATGTGTTGCCAATACAAAACATTTTTATACCTGTCTGTATAACTGCTGTGTTGTCACAACGTCTGCATTATGATCCTGACTGAAGTTTGTCGACTTTACACTACAATGGAGAAAAGCCATGAAGGAGAAACATTTAAAGAGGTATTTTAATTCCACTTTGTGTCAAAGGCAAATCTGCTGGTTTTGTTTTTTTTTTAATTTGGCACTATCAAAACATTTCTGCCATTTTTTTAAACACATACTCGCTATAAATGACCAAGAGATTAAATTAAGTTCTGTAAAATTACTGCATTCTCACTCAGATCCTGAAAATATAGAGATTTAAAAAAACCCACTTTACTACTGGCAAAAGAAGCCCAAATATCAGATCTAAAGTTGGATTATAACAAACTACAGCTCTTAATAGCATGTACTATTAAAATGTTTTTATGATGTGGGTGTGTAAAATTGTTTCTTTGCATTGAAATGCCTACAACTGATGTGGCAGATAAGTACATTCCTGTCACTTAGCA